CCCTCTTGGAAAATTGTCAAACCTCGATACTTTCAAAGGAGTTTAATAAAGGGATTAGCCATTTGAGAAAGCTCTCAGTTTAGCAAATGACCAATAGAAAGTAAAAGGAACAGATAAAGAACTCAAAGGGAAAAGAAAAGGAAGAAGCAGCCAGGACCACCCCCAAAAAGTTTTTTGCATTAATCAACGCCCTTTTGACAAACCTATTATTCAACATCCTGGCTCTTCCAGGGCTACCCTCTTGGAAAATTGTCAAACCTCAATATCTTAAAAGGAGTTTAATAAAGGGATCAACCATTTGAGAAAGCTCTCAGTATAGCAAATGGCCAATGAAAAGTAAAAGGAAAAGATAAAGAACTCAAAGGGAAAAGAAAAGGAAGAAGCAGACAAGACCACCCCCAAAAAGTTTTGTGCATTAATCAACACCCTTTTGACAAACCTATTATTCAACATCCTGGCTCTTCCTGGGCTACCCTCTTGGAAAATTGTCAAACCTCAATATTTTAAAAGGAGTTTAATAAAGGGACCAGCCATTTCAGGAAGCTCTCAGTTTAGTAAATGGCCAATAGAAAGTAAAAGGAAAAGATAAAGAACTCAAAGGGACAAGGAAAAGATAAAGAACGCAAAGGACAAGAGAAAATCCAAAAAAAATAACTCCCCCCCAAAAACTTGTCTTTAATCATGACCCTTTTCAACCCAGGGGGGTCTGGAATAATTTTGGAAAACTTTTCTTAAATCATCACCCTTTGATAAATCAACACCCAACATTATCTAATTAGTTAAATGACAGAACACATTTGCAAATATTTTGGAATTTCAATAGGGTTCTTAGCCAACTAATCAACATAACATATCTACAATCGACACACCGGCTATGTATCTCTTGTGGTTCGTCGAACTACTGCACGCCCTGTACCCACTGTACTCTATCATTGTTACATAGTCAGCTATGGTACGATTTCGCACCGAGTTAGTGAACCATACCGTTCTGAGTGCTAGTAACTCGCCCACGCTTCTTTACTGTTCTTAGACTGCCTATGCCATTTGCATCAACTACTGTACAATGGTGGGAATTGACAATTTGCTGCAAGTTAAAACAATCTGGAAGGATTGTAATACCATCATAGTGTGGGAAATCAATATGCTTTATATATATATAAAATATGAGTTGATAGAATTGTTTTTTTAATATCAGATATTAGCTAGTATTTAATATTGCGTCTCATGGTTTTTGCTCGCATGATCGCATGCACACATTCTATGACATACATATATGCACACATTCAAAGATGAATCCTACATAAATATTTCGACATATAAATACATTTGTCATGTATATACGCGGGTGTGCTTACCAAGGCCCCAGCCTCACTGTCTGTGGGTCGATCTAGTCAGTATCTATTGGTGCCAAAGAGTTTACCTTTGTGCTCACCCCAGCCGTTTAATCCGCGGGATTATGCACCGTGGACGGCTAAGGGGGGCCCATCACCGATTTGTGTCATTGTTATTTACGATTAATACTTGGATGGTTGCACCATTGAGCATGCGCCGCTGGATTGTAGGAACTGTTTGATCCACTGATACATCAGAAAGTCCTTGCCATTAAATAGCTTCGAAAATTCGTAAGTTCAATTTATTACTGTACTACTGTATAATTACAGCAAGTTAACTCTGCAGCAGAACCACCATTTTTTTGTGATGGCAGCATTCTAAAATATTTCACTCTTTGGGTTTGATTTTGGGTCCTATAACTGTTTGGAAGCGCGCTTGGCGAACAACCGGGGTTGATGGTGAAAAATGAAGTCCGGTGTGCCAGGGAACCTGGCCTTGGGGGCCAGACCCCCATGGCAAACAAAGGGGGTTCTACTAAAACCCTTTGTTCTCAGTGGTGTTGGACCCCTAGGGTAAATATATGGCCATTTGGGGATGATTCCCCTTATCAACCAGGATTCGAGTGCTCGGGAGAACAGTGAGGTCGTGATGAAATTTACCCATATATATATAATTCACTGGTGATTAATGGTGATTAATGGTGAATAACTGTGATTAATGGTTGATAATGGTGATTACTTAATCTGGTTGGTGGTATACCTACCCCTCTGAAACATATAAAAGTCAATGGGATTAACCATCAATTATTGCTAGGGATTTATAGGGAATATCATGGGAATATCATGGGAATATACACTGCTTGGTGGTTGAGCCCTACCCTTCTGAAAAATGATGGAGTTCGTCAATGGGAAGGATGACATGCCAGATATTATGCAAAAATAATCCACATGTTCTAAACCACCAACCAGATTGGGCTTTAAAAATTGTCCCCGGAATTTTCAGACATAGTGTTGACCTCTGATGAGAAAACTACCCTGAAAATGAAGCTAACCAACCGCCCAAACAAAAAAAAACTATATAGCCCTGATTGAAGCTGATATCCATGATTGCACATGTGGTAGTATATCAGTAACGTTCAGTTTAACCATAGTCAAATCATCTACTTTCTGGCGATGATCTGGTTTGGACTTTGTCGTTTTTGAGCAGATGTGGCCCTCTCCGAGTACTTGTTCCCCTTTGTTTGAAGCAAGAATCCCACTTTTGGTGCGTAAATCCAGCTTCCCTTGGTTTGTAAGACAAATACATATATGACGCACAACAACATATAATTATATTACCACCCGAACATGTCAGTCATTCAGCGTTCAACATGGTTTCAGATCACTAATGACTCGACTCTGACTTGACCCACACTTGGGCTTGTCCAATAAACATATGAAAATATGCTTAAGCATAGGGTATACCCCACAATGGTTAATGCCATAAAAGTTTTCCCCCAGTCATCACCGTAAATAGATTGTTTTTTTTCCATTCCCAGTCATGGGTGGTTCATGACATTGTTTTACCAACTTCAATCATCATTAATCCAATTTATAACCATTAATATCATATATTATCATATATTATCCATCATTAATCACCATTAAACATCAGTGATCACCATTATATCACCATTACTAGGTTGGCAATTCAACGGTGCCGAAAAATATTAAGGGATTTGGGTATATTTCAAGCCGCTGCCATTTTTTCTGTCTTGCACATGCGCCATCCGTTTGCACCAAGACCTCAGCCGCCAGGAAGTGGCAAATATGAAGTGCAAAATGGTGCTGGTTTCAACTTCCTACACAATGACATGGATACCAGATCGATGCGCTCATGACTTGCACTCCCTGAGCACATTTGTTTCTCCAGAAAGCTGATGGAAGTCGCTGTTTCGCAATCTGGACCGCTGAACCGCCAGGATGAGTTACCCCATCATCCGCACAGCAGGTCTCTATGCCCCTAGAAACCCTACAGATTTAGCTCAATCAATGCCTGCCCAATCTCGCTGAGCAGGATCCGGGTTGAGCATAGCCTTGATTGCTGGCCTGAAGCTTGGTTCCAGCAAGTGCAAACGATTCACCAGCCGATAGTCAAAATTTCGGCTGACCTGTGCATTTGAAAGACTTGGTCTTATTGATCCCTGCAATGATTTCTGCAAGGATTGCCACTGCTGGCACCACTCCTTGATGGTGTTCTCACAACCACAAAGGTTGTTGCGCAGTGGGCGCATAAGGATCTTTCCAACTGCAACCTCATAGAGAACACAACCAAACGACCATAAATCGACTGCAGGCCCCAACCACTTGGAAAGGTCCCTTTGAGCAGCGTGCCACAATTCTGGGGCTCGGTAACTTGCTGTTACATACATGGGAAAACGAATTGAACGACCATACCCTGGGATATATTCAGACATCCCAAAGTCTGCCAACTTGAGCTCACGCCGGACAACGCACCAAAGCACATTGCTTGTTTTTAAATCCAAATGCAAAATCTGCAATGAGTGCAAGCCACGCACTGCAGCTTTCAGCTGCAAAGCGATGGCGCGACTGTCATCTACGCTAAAAGCTCCTTTTTCCCCAAGCAAAGAAAACAAGCTGGAGCCACAATATTCAAGAGCCAAAAATGGAAAAGGCTTGAAACAGGGCTGTGCTTCCAAAATGCAGGGGTAAAATCCTCGGAGTTTCTGGTCGCTTTGTTCTTGCACTGCTTGCAAAAGGACGAGCTCATGGTTGAGATCCTCGAGTGCGCTCTTCTTCTTGAAGACCTTCACAGCACATCTTCGTTGAAGCTTGTCTAAGCAAAGGAAAACGCTGCCATAAGCGCCTTCACCTAGGGGATGGCAATCAGGAAGGCCAGGATCCGCATTCACCACCTTGTAGCCTCCGATCATGACAGGATCTTCAGGTTCTGGAAGCACGTCCTTTGCCAGCGTGTGAGTTGTTCGCGAGCTTGACTTTCGCAGTGGCATGCCCATCTGCTTCATCACAAAATGCTGCTTGGCAAACTCGGCATTGGATTGGTCAAAGTAGCGCTTCTTCTGGTCAATGGGTAACTTGTGCCACATGGCCCCCAAGCGCTTCATCTCAAGCCGCCATTCGCTTCTCCCACCTCCTTTCTGCCCACGCACGTTGTCCTTGACAAAGAGCGCAAAAGGCCTTCTAGCAGGTGGCAACAAGCCATCTTTCAACGCTTGACATCGAATCGTGTCTCGTTTTGGCTTGGTCTGCTTGCCCTTTGACTTTTGGCCATTCTTCTTCACTCTTTGAGGGCATGGCTGCTTGCCACGAAGCCGAACTGCGGGCACAGCTTTTGCCATGGCTACTCAGGACCGCTGGACCGCCAGGACCTAACAATGGCAACGGCTGTAGAAATTGCTGCAACGGCAAATGCAAATAAGGGATGAGGCTAAAATACATGTAAAGCAAGCTTTCACGCAGGATTTAACAAAACTGTGCATTGAAGCTTCCTTTGGCTGCAAAATAGCCTCAACTTGGACAGCTCCTTTTTGGCGATTTTTTTGCGATCAAATTGCTAAAAGAAGCTGTTAGCCACATGATCAAAATTTGCCGTTCGTGGACCGCAGGACCGCAGGACCCTGCCACGGACACAGCAAAAACCGCGCAAACCTAGTTGTCGTCACTATCAGGCTCCAAAATTTCAACCTCATCAGCATCACAAGCCAATGCCTGCAGGATTTCAGGGAACCGCTCCTTGACTGCTTTGGCAAGATCGTCAGAAAACAATGTGCTGCCTTGGACCGAAATCAACCCACACGCAGCCCTGTCGGCAATTGCCTGGACCCAGGACATGTGCTCTTTGTTGATGCACAAGCCGTGATACTGAATTCCCCGTGTGAGGCATGCTTCCATCAGGGCCCCACTTCCTGCGGACACGTCGAAGACGCTTTGGATTCGAAGTTCATCCAGCAAAGCCAACCACAAAGCAATGGGCTTGCTCTCCTGCCAAAACAACGGCTGATCATCATGGTGGTTTTCTCGGTACTCGTCTGGTGCTGGGACCGCAGAACCTAGGATCTTTTTCTTCTCTTCAAAGCTGATCAGGGGAAGTTCCTTTAGAGGGCGGAAGGCCACGCCGCTGAAGGTTGGCTGAAAGTTGGTAGCTTCCCCACAGGAGTTGAAAGATTGCTTTTTGCAGGTCTTCAGACGGCTACGGGATACAGGAAAGCGAAGAACGCCTGATTCAAGCTTTTTCGCACTAAACGGGATCCGCCTCATCCGTCCAGCTCGAGCAAGGCAGCCGCCGGAATAGATGACAGCAACCTCCTCCGTCTGTGGCAGGCTCAGAAGCACATCTTCCTGACGTGAAATAAAGCTAGCAAAGCGCAAACAAGTGAAGGTAAAAGAATTATGGGTCAGTGAGAGCGTGTGGAACAGGAAAAGCTAAAAGATGGCAGTGCTGAACCGAGGCACGCTAATCCGCCGTATGGACCGCATCCTGCCATCAAAGAGGATGCAGAAGTCGGTGGAGCCAGTCATGCTGCCCATGAAGTCGCAAATTCCCTTCCAGCTGTCTGCGTTTGGCTCCGTGCTGTTCATCCATGGCTCATTGCCTCCCTCCTGAAGAAGATCTGCTGAGCCACAGAAGAGCCTGTGGTTCGAATTCAACTGGCCTGAAAATGTATATACCTTCCCACTTGCTTTCAGTGCAGCAATCAAATTGTCCTTCCCATAGCCTTTCGTGGAAGAAAAGGTCACATACTTCTTCCTTTCACTCTGGACTTGCTTCCAGACCCTGTTGCGGGCTTCAGCCTCCTCATCCTTCAAATTGTCAGCTCCCAGGGTCTGGATCAGCGGCGGTGCTGGCAAGGAACTTCCAGACACGCTCTTCACATTAGTATCAAAATTTTGGACGACCAGCACAATGTGCTGAATCAGCTTCTTGAGGTCTGTGGACAAATCTGGGGGATCAGGTGCATTGCCACCTTGGCTTTCCAAGGCAACCAGCTTGGGCAATTTCTCAGAAGTGGAACTCAAGTCAATGCAGGCTTGGAGGTAACTTCCACGCATGAGGTCAAAGATGAAATCCAGCAAAGCACCTGTAGCTTTATTGAAGCCCGACTTCAAGGAATCTAAAGCTGACTCTGGGATATCCACTGGGTCCGGGTCGTCTTCACCTTGTGCGCCTTCATCCGATTGTGATTCCAGCTGAGGCTTCAAGAATTCTGCCCAGCATTGCGTGGGGTTCCGGAGTTTCAAGATGGCATCCACACACGATTGCCTTTCGCCGTCTGGAAGCTTCTCAACCAAAGGATGCAAAAAATCCAGCGCCTGCCAGGGCAATCATGCGCAAGTGCAAGACATTTGCCGTGCGAGTTCAACAAATATCTCACTGTTATGTCAATATCGTTATTATTCAAAGTGAGTCCATTAAATAAGCGAAGCAAGTTTGGCTTGAGGGAATTTCTCAATCTCAAAACCCCTGTCCTCTGACACGCCTGTGCATGCATGCCAATATCCGTTCTTCTGGTGCTTGCGGTCACGGTCAAGCCATGTATCCGTTGCCTTGGCACAAGTGACCAGCCTGGAGTTCAAGGCAAGGTGGAACATGTTCACCAGCCAGCCGGCAACCTCGTCAACCGGCCTGGTTGCTGATGCCATGGTTCTTGCATGCGTCACCAATCTATACAGTTTTCCGTACTGGTTGCTTAGAACTTCCCGGCCCCATCTCCCCTCCAGATGGAGGATTGCTGTTTCAAAAGCGGAAGCTTTGGTTGACCCTGGCTCGTTCATCACAGAAAGAACGGCCATGCAAGCTTTGTGCATTGCACTGTTGTAAAGAGAATTGTTGAAGCGAAGCTGTGCATCTCTGCCATCAGACTCCTTCTCAACCTTCAAGATATGTGCTAACGAACAAAATTTCACGAATGTGTCAGACAAAGTGTTGTTGCTCAATGTCTTCAGCGTTTCCGACGCGCTGTTCAGAGTCAATGCCCAGTCAATGTCAGAGGGGCAGAAACGGAGCTGAATAGTAACCGTGCAAGCAGCTTCCCAAAGCATGTCAATCCATTCTTTGTCCTGGTACGAAAGATGCCAAAGCTGCCGAGGAAGCAATCAAACAAATTTCAATTCTGGGATGGAACATTGACACAGTCATGGTAGCAAACAAAAAAACTGAGACATTATTGAGCTCCAAGTGTCCCCAGCTTTAAGAGCTTCGAACACTGCAAGGTACCAGGGCCAAAGCACAAAGTGACAGCTTGCAAGGTTCAGGCTGCCGTCAAAGTGGTCGTGCTCTGCATCATTCACATTCTCACAGCCACACAACATCACGATTGGCCACACGATCCGGTCCTTTGTCCGCTGCTTTTTCCCTTGCCTTTGCACCGCAGCTTTCAACGTCACGCCTTTGCCAAAGAAGTCTTCCTTGAACTTGTTGATCTCACCAAAAGGAACACTGCCCGGGTTGACATCCCGGCCTTTCCCTGTGGAGTAGATTCCAGACCGCAGCCACAGAGCTAGACCTGCACCTTCGTATACGCCGTTGACCTTCAGCGAAGTAAGGATGACTCTCGGTCCCAAACTGCCTGCGCCAGTCAAGAAAGGTGGACTAAACGCTATGATTGCTGAGATGCATCGGAAACTGAAGCAAAGTTCCGCCAGGCCTTGTAACCAGAATTGTCCTTTTCCTTGACGTTCTCGTCGATTCTCAAGGGCGGCGTCTTGTGCATCCCTTTCGCAGGTAGATGCTGCTTGGGTAGATGCGTTCTGACCTCAAGAACTTTCTGCGTTTGGCGCGTTGGCCACAAGTCGCTGCGTAACAAGGTGAACTTACCATTGAACGACATCATTGGAGCAAGCATCTGAGGCCAGCTCCCATGGAATCACCTGCAACATGACATCTTTGGCACTGGCCTCAGCGTCTCTTTGCTTCAACTTGCAGCCCGTTCTGAATCTGAACTGTTTCCATCAAAACAATGCACAACATGAGGCGGCAACTTCTGGATTGTCCGGAAGACTCGGAGCAGAAGTCATCTTGACCAGGCCAGCGCAAATCTGCTGACAGACGGTCTGCCACCCACAAGTCACAAGGACCGCAGGACCACAGAAGGACCGCGAAAAAAATAAACTGCGAGCCAACAGGGCCAACAAGTAAGCGACTTACAGCTTCTGAAATCCACCCACGACAAAAAACGGCACTAATAATAGTAGTTAGGTTGATGAAAGCAATTTCGATTGCGCACAAGCTTCCAAGTAGGCAACTTTAATCAGTGTCAGCATTTTTTTTTGGGGCACGTCTGCAACTCGCCGTTGGATTTATGGCAAAACTTTGTCAGACCTGTGTGGCTGAGGTCTGACAGCCTGGACAAAACGAAGAAATGCCTTTATGGCTCTTCCATTGGCTCAGGCGCGCATGGACGAGATGGCTCAAGTGCAGATGCCTCAGCACAGCCTTGGGCAAGCTGCCGTTCAATCTCTGCAATCTCCGACTTCTTCATCGCCATGGTCTTCCCCAACTCGTGGTTCTCCTCTTGCAGCTTTCGCTTCCTGCTTGCCAACCTCTGGCTTCGGTTCTTTTCGACAATGGACGATTGGGGGTAAAAGTCACCAGTGTTGGTCATGGAAATTTTGTAGTCCTGGACCGTGAGCACGGCCTCCTTTGACTGCAGCATGGTGATGATGAAGTTAGTCGTCTCCACCCAAACTGGGCCCAATGGATGCTGGTGAGGCGCAACGCCACCCAGCAATGTTTTCGTTCGCAGGGTGAGCAAGTGCAACTCATCACTAGCTTCCTGCCCTGCATGAACTGTGGACGTAGAAGGCTTGTATGCAAAAAAGCCAACATTCATTGCTGACAAAGAGCTTGCCATCCACGGCAACACACTCAATTCCACGCCTGATAAAACCTTCCCAAGCATTTCCTTCATGACGCCAGAGGTCGAACTCATCATGAACATGCGAAGCAAAGGGTTTGCCTTGGTGCAATCCAGCACATCCACCAAGTTTTCGGTCAACTTGGTCTTTGGGAATGGGACATAGTACGTATAGAGCATGTCTGTCTGGTTCTCTGCCCCGAAAACCATGTTGTTCTGCTTACCAAAGCTGTCGACGCTCAGCATGATAACCGGCTGCATCGTCACAGGCCTCATTTGCCATTGCTCAAGCAATTGAAAATTGAAGATGTGCATCGTAATAATTAGTTATTATTTTGAATAATTTCGAATAGAACTGAATTTCAAAACCTCTTAAATGCGACCGTGCTTCATCACATCGATCTTCCAGTCCCCCATCAAGTTGATTGGCGAAAAAGGCTGGAAGGACTCCCGCATCTCCAGGCCATGAGCCGAAGGAATGAGGGCTCTAGTGGCAATGGTCAGCGCAAGATTCTCACGCGTCTGCAGCCTGAAGATTACATAGTTGCTCTGCTGCCATCCTTCAGGACCAAAGGCATCCGACTCCACACAGGTCGATCGCTTCTTCGTGCTCTTTGCCTTTGGAGACAGCTCTGGAGCATCTGAAAGTGTGATGCCCAGTTTCTTCACTGCAGCTTTCCGGGTTTGCGAAATTGCTTGCATTCTGGTGGAGCTCCAAACCATTGGCTTGATGTCGATGTACCACTCGTCAGTCTTGTCCTGCTCAATCAGCTTCTGGAACACGGCCGCGTCAAAGGCATGGAAGCCCACCAGAGTCCAGTCTCGACACGTCATGCTGACTAGGACCGCAGGGCAATGGACCGATAAGCGAAGCTGAGTGAAACCAAAAAAAAGCTGCATTGCAATACAAATCCAAAGTCTGTGCCACCACTGGCCAATGGCTGGAAAAGATCTCACAACACTGGAAAAAGTAATCTTTCTGACTTACAAGATTGAAAATCACAGAGGCCCAAACCTTCAATGAGATTAAGCCGCGCAGGACCGCAGGACTGCTGAGCCTTTGGATTGGCATGAGCCAGGAGCACAGCATGCAAACTAAGATTCAACTCGACTCTCTTCAAGACAGTGACAACTTGCTGCACTGTTGGAATCTCAGGATCCAGCCTGCCCAGCAAGCAAAACCGAGCTATGCCTACCAAGCGAAAAAAATGGCCCAATCATATTTGTCAGACATTTGACCCACTGCGCCTCCATGGCACGAGCTACACAGGGCGTCACCGCTGGGCAAACGTCTGAGGTCCAGTTGCCTCACCAAGGAGGAATGATCTAAGGCCTCAAAAATCTTCCCAGGACACCATGTGTGTGCTGATTAACCAAACAGAATCAATACCTAAATTGCCTCAAGACATTTTATGAAGTCAATTCCTATTACACATATCGAGGACCGCCAGACCACAGGACCAATGCCTTCGCAGAATCCAAGACAAGCTACTGCGCTTCAAGAACACCCAATTTTTGATCACATGCATGCACTTGCATGCGTTGATGAGGACCATGGTTTCTCCACTGCTTCCATCCGCTACTCGTGCCTTCAGCTCTTCCACCCCTCGGATGCCTTTGAGAGTGTCCAAGTGTTGGAGGACTTGGTCACGGACGACAGCTGGCTTGCTTCCGCACCAGCGCCCAAAAGTCCTACTGTAGTTGCCATTCCTGAAGCAGGAGAGCCAAAGTCATGGCAAGGCATCAACACCTCTCTCCTCATTTTCAAAACAGGCATAATACTCTAATTGTGAAAGAAGTAATCAAGGTTCCAATCTTGAGGGTCGCATTCGCCGTCACACATGGGACCCCCAGCTAACCGACCCAGTTGACGCAATGTCTCCGCAAAGTGGGGCTCCATCAGTCGACTTGCCGGGGTGCCGATGAGGTGAAGCCTAGGTATTAGTTTCTGGCTTCAAGGTGCATGTCTCAACTGCCAAAAAATTGACACTGATTGTGCATCATCAAGATAATTCAATCAATTCAGCATTAAACTGTTCAGACCAGAAACCTGTCAATGTCCACCTGCCAAACATTCTGGGACTTCTTCCCAGGGGCATTGCTGACAAAGATTTTTTCCAGGGATCCATCCAAGAACTGGGCTGCTAAAGACAGCAAGTCCTTCAGACCTGCTTTGGCCACATCGCGATTGGGCCTGATGTAGTGTACCTGCAATGTGGCAACTTCAAGAGTGAAGCGGCCGCAGGACCACTGGAGTGCTGGATACCAGATTCAAGAAATGTGAGTGAAGTTGCTAAACAGGCTGCAAAAAATGAAAGAGCCAAGCCTTTCCCTTGCGCTTCACCAACTTTGAAGGCAAGAACGCCTTGCGGTTGCCTGGGCCTTCTGTTTGGCGAAAGAAAGCCACAATCGCATTGGTCAGTGACACGCTTTTCTCAGACGAGGCATGGTCCAAAAGGAACTCCGCAAACCTTGCAGGAATTCGGAAGAAAAACTAGCTTCTTGTTGGGTTGAATTTTAAATCCCATTGTGAGATAACATCTAGCTAAGGAACAAAGCACTTCGAAGGTAGACACCCATGATGACAAACCCAAGCTGCTCTGTGCGGGTCAAGCGTTTCAAGGACTTGAGCTCCAGCAAGTTGGCCAAGTGTGTGGTGACCATGTCTTCGCCTGCCAGCACGCAGGCAGGCAAAGCGTACCCCAAAACAAAGGCACACATCTTTCGAAGTCATTAATCATGAAATGGAGAAAAGGTGCAAATGCTCAGGATCTGGGATTGCTGAGCAAATGATTGAGACATATCCAGAAGGGGAGCTACACTTGAAAATACTTCCGAAGCTTGAACCGGCAAGGCCTCGCATCTTCCCAACAGGGTGCAGGTAGCTTCCCTCACAGCTTTGCAAAAACGTCAATTGCCTGCCCTGCATTCTGAGAAAGGGGTTTTCACAGTGGAGCACTTTGAGCACAAGATTGTCCGGGTCCTGCAACTTAAAATGGAACACAACACTTGCAAGGCAATGAAAAATGCATGGCAGAATGTCAGAGCCACATTGATGAATCTGACAGCTGTCCTTCTCAAGTTTGGGAATGAAGCAACGAGTGCGGTACACCAAGTAGCCCGCCAATAAAGCCTGCAGGAACCACTTGCCGTTAGTTTAACAAAAACATAAATGCCTCTCCCAAGTGCATGGCCCTACTGCAACTTCTTGGCAGCAAAAAGCGAGCCGAGAAACGCCCGGGAGAGCTGTAGTGAAAAAGTGTCTGAACAAAAAATCTAGCACCGTTGCAAAATTCTTGTCCACGCTTTGAATGCATTGCGATGCTGCCTCTGAAGGATCCATCGAATTGGAAAGGGTTGACTCGACATGGGCAACAATTCACGGGTAAACAGCATCTATTATATTAACTTCCATTTTATCAAAACGTTACAAAAAAAAGCTTTTGTAAAAGCCGTATCAAACAAACAGTTACTTACATTGTTCAGAACTAATATTAGTTAAATATACGTCCATACACCTGAACCATTTTTGCGCAAATGAGGTTGATCAAAAGAAAGATCGATAGACGGAAACGGACAGAGAGACAAATAGACTATCCAATATGGGTAGACTAAAGCATTAGATACATGAAAGGCTAGTGTCATGAACTGGGATATTAATAGTGAGATGGAAGACGGAGGAAAAAGATGGGGAAAAAGAAAGATTCACGGATGCATATGTGGATGGATGGAATGGAAAGAAAGAAAAAAAGGTAGATAGGTCGGTAGAAGATAGATCGATCGATTGATAGATAGATGGATAGATAGGCAGGCAGGCAGGTAGGAAAATAGACAGCGAAAATACATGGTAGATTACTAAGTGCATGATACTATTATTGTTAAAAAAAAGCGCAGAAGAGTAAAATATTAATTAAAGCAAAGCAAAGCAAAGTATAATATTGTAAAGTATAGTAAAGTATGGTAAAGATACACAGATAGAAAGGTAGATAGGTAGTAGATCATGGTAGATAGATAGATAGATAGATAGACAAATAGATAGATTGATTGATTGAGTGATTGATTGATTGATTGATTGATTGATAGATGGAAGTCTAGTAGATAATGGATGGAATGATGCATAGACAGAGGGATAGGTTAGTTAGTTAGTTAGATAGGTAGATAGATAGATACATTGATAGACAAACAGATAGAAGAATAGATCGATAGGTTTGACAGAATAGATGAATAGATGGATGTGATAAGTTGAAAACACAAAAGACAGATTGATATGGCCAAAGGGCTCCATAGAAGATGGATAGGGATAGATAGATGCATACTACATACATTTGATAGATATAGACAGATAGATAGCTAAAGGGTAGATAGATAGATACATAGATAGATAGATAGATAGATAGACAGATAGATAGATAGACAGATAGATAGAAAGACAGATATTACTAGTATTATAGATTAGACACTAGGCTAGATAGATAGATCTAGAAAGGTCTAGATAGATAGATCTAGATAGATAGATCTAGATAGACAGATCTAGCTAGGTAGACAGATCTAGCTAGATAGATCAAGCTAGGTAGGTCTAGCTTGATAAATGATGATAGATCTAGTTAGATAGGAAGCAAAGGTTAGATGCATAGGTAGGTAGGTAGGCAGGCAGGTATTGGCGGTAGAGGTAGGTAGGTAAGCTTGAGGGATTGGCAGATTGGCAGAGGGGAAAAGAAAGATAACAGAGAGGGAGATAGACAGGTAATAGATAGATGGACAGATAGATGAATGCGCGAAGGAAAAAAGATAGAAGCATGGCTATTCGAGATGGGAAGAGATAAGAGAAGAGAGAAAAATGAGAGAGAGAGAGAGGGAGAGGAACAAGCACCCTAACAGGCAAATGACTATTACTCATCTTATTATTAACTCGATTTCGAAACCTGATGTAATAAACTTGCTGCTGTGTCAAACACAACCACCAATTTTGCGACAGGAGTTGCCTTTAACTCTCTCCTGATTTAGCGAGACTATCGAATAGCTATTCTAGACTAAAGCTATAAATGGCACATCGGCAGCAGGTCGTAACGCAATGATAAGCTTCAGGCTCTTCTTAGTGCTGCAGCAATATTTAGATCTCAATAGATTATTATGGTGCCTTTAGAAGCTTTGGGTCGCATGGTTTTCAGACGCGGCTCTGTGTTGGCTGCTCATCAGTGATTTTTGCGTTCTGTGTGTTTGTTTCTTGCGTTTGAGAACATTCCGCAGGTCAGGGTTTTGCAGCTGTGATCATATGGCTTAGTGAAATGTCGGCCTGTTTCGTGCTGCACGATTGTTTTCCATTTTCACTGCCATCATTAGGTCAGGTCAGGTGATTATGCGCGTGCGTCTTGTGCTGATGAGTTGGGAACAAACGCGCTCTTCTATGCTGCCAGAAAATTTATGCTTGTTTTGCGATCCGCATCTTCTAGCCCTATACCTGTCTTGCAATGAGCATTGATTCCACCCTGGCATGAAGGAAATGCTAAATGTCTGGGACTACATTAAGGCATGGAAATTCTCTCTTGGCAGAATTGGAAGATAACATGTGGAGCAAGGGAATAGGAGAGAGAACCACTATTCTCGTCATTGTCAGGTAAAAGGGAATTCAAAGCTGTACAAAACTATGCGCTCAGAGAAGGTCTGTCTTGATCACATCAACTCTTCAAGCCAAATCAACAAATTTCATGCCGTGACACATTGAAGGCAAGGCGGCTTGTACGGTTCCACTCCTCTTTTGGCAAGCCACACTGAACAGTGGCCATCCACAGCCTCACTGCTTTTTTGGCTTCCACTGGTGTTGGAGGCATGGCCTCACAGGTGTTGGAGGTCAACACACACGTTTACATACTTGTAAGTTTTTTGTAGTTTTACATGCATTCTATGAATATGCATGCACATATGCACATACTCATACATAGAGATACATAAAGATGCATGCTTCACACGTGCGACAGAGATATTATACATAGTATGCGCATTTTTACATATATATATATATATATATATATATATACATATACATATACGTATATACGTATATACGTATACATATACACATATACATATACATACATACATATAATATATATATATACATAATTATACATATTTATACAAATATGACATTGATGCGAAGATGCACTTAAATCATGCGTAGATCCACTAAGCCATGCGAAGATGCAAAATCCTCAAAAATTCTGAAGCTATAAGCGGCGTGGCACTGGTTTTTAAAAACCGAGGGCGTATTGAGAAGGGCAATGCCCAGGTCAATACGCCCTTGGTTTTCGAAAACCGGAGGTGGATTGAGAGGAGAGAAAGCTTCCCAATTGTACGATTCCTGAGTTTTGGTATTTGGAGGGGAAAATCCCCTTTCATTACGCCCTTGGTCTTTGAAAACTGGAGGTGTATTGGCTTGGGGTGATTCTGGGCTGTTTTTGACGCAAAATCGAGAAAACAGCCAAGCCGGATGAAGAGATCTTTTTCCATCTTTTTGCTACAGGCTGGAATCATTTGAGCTGCGATGTGTTGAAACGACCTGAGATTCCACGTGTCTGTTTCAATGTTCTGATGCACCGCATAAAAGATAGAACATCACCGACTGAGCTCAATGTCTTCACTGAGCTAGTCTTGCCCCTCTTGGAGTTGCTCTCCCCTGCAACTACAGTCCACCTGGAGCCCTCCGATTTGGCACATGCTTTGAGTGCACTGCAAATGGCATATGACCTTTCAGGTGGAACTAGCATCAAAGAATAACTGCGGAGGCTTGGCTTAATAATAAACACTCGGCAGCCCAATGAAACAACGTAACTTTGCTTAAGAGGAGTCAAGGAGCCGATTGACCGCAGGACCAATCTGAAGTTGAAAAGATCTACTCCGCAG